TATTCTTTAATTTTCTTGTAAGATGATTTTTTTTATTATGATAAATAATAATTTCATTTGCATTATGTTTGATTTACTAGAATAAAAGTAAAGTATAATAGAATACACATTTCTTAACCTCTTTACAAAATGATTCACCTTGTTTAGTATTAATTGATTTTTTGAAAATTAGATTTTTATTTTTCGTTTTTTTGTTTTTGTTTTTAGTAATTAGTGATTTTTTTTATTATGATAAATAATAATTTCATTTGCATTATGTTTGATTTACTAGAATAAAAGTAAAGTATAATAGAATACACATTTCTTAACCTCTTTACAAAATGATTCACCTTGTTTAGTATTAATTGATTTTTTGAAAATTAGATTTTTATTTTTCGTTTTTTTGTTTTTGTTTTTAGTAATTAGTGATTTTTTTTATTATGATAAATAATAATTTCATTTGCATTATGTTTGATTTACTAGAATAAAAGTAAAGTATAATAGAATACACATTTCTTAACCTCTTTACAAAATGATTCACCTTGTTTAGTATTAATTGATTTTTTGAAAATTAGATTTTTATTTTTCGTTTTTTTGTTTTTGTTTTTAGTAATTAGTGATTTTTTTTATTATGATAAATAATAATTTCATTTGCATTATGTTTGATTTACTAGAATAAAAGTAAAGTATAATAGAATACACATTTCTTAACCTCTTTACAAAATGATTCACCTTGTTTAGTATTAATTGATTTTTTGAAAATTAGATTTTTATTTTTCGTTTTTTTGTTTTTGTTTTTAGTAATTAGTGATTTTTTTTATTATGATAAATAATAATTTCATTTGCATTATGTTTGATTTACTAGAATAAAAGTAAAGTATAATAGAATACACATTTCTTAACCTCTTTACAAAATGATTCACCTTGTTTAGTATTAATTGATTTTTTGAAAATTAGATTTTTATTTTTCGTTTTTTTGTTTTTGTTTTTAGTAATTAGTGATTTTTTTTATTATGATAAATAATAATTTCATTTGCATTATGTTTGATTTACTAGAATAAAAGTAAAGTATAATAGAATACACATTTCTTAACCTCTTTACAAAATGATTCACCTTGTTTAGTATTAATTGATTTTTTGAAAATTAGATTTTTATTTTTCGTTTTTTTGTTTTTGTTTTTAGTAATTAGTGATTTTTTTTATTATGATAAATAATAATTTCATTTACATTATGTTTGATTTACTAGAATAAAAGTAAAGTATAATAGAATACACATTTCTTAACCTCTTTACAAAATGATTCACCTTGTTTAGTATTAATTGATTTTTTGAAAATTAGATTTTTATTTTTCGTTTTTTTGTTTTTGTTTTTAGTAATTAGTGATTTTTTTTATTATGATAAATAATAATTTCATTTGCATTATGTTTGATTTACTAGAATAAAAGTAAAGTATAATAGAATACACATTTCTTAACCTCTTTACAAAATGATTCACCTTGTTTAGTATTAATTGATTTTTTGAAAATTAGATTTTTATTTTTCGTTTTTTTGTTTTTGTTTTTAGTAATTAGTGATTTTTTTTATTATGATAAATAATAATTTCATTTACATTATGTTTGATTTACTAGAATAAAAGTAAAGTATAATAGAATACACATTTCTTAACCTCTTTACAAAATGATTCACCTTGTTTAGTATTAATTGATTTTTTGAAAATTAGATTTTTATTTTTCGTTTTTTTGTTTTTGTTTTTAGTAATTAGTGATTTTTTTTATTATGATAAATAATAATTTCATTTGCATTATGTTTGATTTACTAGAATAAAAGTAAAGTATAATAGAATACACATTTCTTAACCTCTTTACAAAATGATTCACCTTGTTTAGTATTAATTGATTTTTTGAAAATTAGATTTTTATTTTTCGTTTTTTTGTTTTTGTTTTTAGTAATTAGTGATTTTTTTTATTATGATAAATAATAATTTCATTTACATTATGTTTGATTTACTAGAATAAAAGTAAAGTATAATAGAATACACATTTCTTAACCTCTTTACAAAATGATTCACCTTGTTTAGTATTAATTGATTTTTTGAAAATTAGATTTTTATTTTTCGTTTTTTTGTTTTTGTTTTTAGTAATTAGTGATTTTTTTAAAATATTTTAAGTAAATTATTTGTGAAAAAATATTTTAAAAATTCAATAAATACAAAAGAATATGAAAATGTATTAAATTCTTATAATTTTTTTTAATTTTTATATTTGATGAATTTTTTTAAAGATTTGTTTCCATAAATATTATACTTTTTAAGTATATCTAGGTTGGTACATCTAAAAAATAAAAAAATTTCTTAAAATATTAAAAATTTGGGGAAATTACCCAAAAAAAAAAGAAGAAAAAGCTCTTAAGGTTTGAATTTTAACAAAATAAACCATGGGCTTTTAATTTTATCAATTTAAATTCAAAACTTTTGATTTGTTTTCAATCTAAACTATTTGCCTATTTTCATTAAATAAAATCGATAAAAAAATGAGTATTTTATTGAGTTTAATGACTAAATACTATTTTTTAGTTGATCTTAACAAAAATAAATGAATTGTTTAAATTGATTTTTTTAAAAAAAAATATTAGGATTTAAATTGACACAATTGAAACCTCAGGGTTTATTTTGTTATAAGTTCAAACTTTTGGATTTTTTTTTGTAATTATGTAATACTTATGTCTTGGAATTCTAATGAATGAAAGGAATGCAGTTAGTTTAAATGTAAATGCATGTCTTATCTAATGGGTTTATTGTTATTATTTTCGAGGGCGTTACATAAACAATAAAGTTCACTTACCTAAATCAAACAATTTCACTTACCATTTAAAAAAAAAAAAAAAAGAATTTTTTGGTAACAATTAAAAATATATTGGACTAATTGGTGCAAATATTTTGTTTTGGGATTAGCTGGGTTTTGAACTTGGTACATGGGACTTATCAGTAAGTTCCCCTTTATATTATCCTCACATTTTCTCTTTTCATTTTTAAATATCTATCTAAATTCATGATCCAAATATAATTTGAGTGAATCAAACATTAGAAAAGACAATATGATGAAATGATCATTCTATTGTGCTGAATCAAACACTACTTTATGATAAATTTCTCATAAATTTTTTAAAATATATATCTTGATAGAGTAACTATTTTATTCCACGTTATTAAAAATAAGTAAAAGGCATAAAAAGACTTTATCTTAGATTTTTTTCAAAACTTTGAAAGGGCCATCTCCACTTATCATTACTTAGTTGACTAATTCAAATTTTTTATTTTTATTTTTCCTTTCTTCCAAATCCAAAATTCAAAATATCAAATTATGCCCAAACACAAACATGACGCACAGGTAACTACTGATATTCTGAAATTTCTTGTGGTTTCTAACTTTCTGATTTTATATGCCTTCATTACTTAGAGAACTCTCAAAATTTTGTTGTAATTAGATCATTTGATGCAAGTTTGCTATAATTGTGAATGTATTTATTAATTGACTTTTTATATATGAGGCTGTAGATCTTCTATATATCATTTTATCTAAAAAGTAAGAGACAAATATATCTCTTAAAAAAGACGTACCACTAAGAATTTTATCCGTCATTTTTTTTTTTTAAAACCAAAGTCTACTGAATGAAAGTTCCCTTTAAAAAACTAAATCCTAATTTGTTAATTTTTTTTTGTTGGTTTACTAAATTGAATTCAAAGTAAACAAAAAGGTTAGAATGATTTCAAATGAAAAACCAAAAAAACTATATTAATCCCAAAATCCATTTTTGCCTTCATTTGATTTTCCTTCTAGGCTATATAATCACAAAAGACAAAAAAGAAGTTACAAAATCACAAAAAGACAAAAAAGTTACAAAAGTATCAAACTACCTCATATACAAATAAAAAGTCAAAAAAGCATCATTCTATACTAAGGGCAATTTTGTCATTTTAAAGTAAAAAAGTCAAAAAAGTCAAATAAAAATACCAAACGACTAAAAAGTTCCAGGCTAAAAAATCAAAAAATTAACTAAAAAAAGCCAAAAACCAAACGACACCGCTATCGTTCATTTTTAAGGGGTTTCATGAAGAATCTTTCCTAGAATTCATACGTAGATTATATATATAGCTAGTTAGTTTCTTTAAAATTTGATTAAATCAAATCAATTGAAACTGACCTCACATTGTTACTCCTAGCGCCGCCCATGTCCAATAAGCGTCCTGTTGATATTGACTCTGATTTATTAGATGAGTCAATGTCGTGTTGATACCGATTCTAATTTCCTTGGCTCCTAAAAGCATATTTCTACACTACTAATGTGCCAAAAACAAAATATAGGTGAGTTGGTCAGAATTTCAAAAAAAATAAAACACAATACTATATGCAAAAGTGATGTTAATCTCATGTAAGAACTCCCAATACATACATACATACATACATACATATATATATATATATATATATATATATCAGTTGTGATGTGAGATAATTAGCCAATGACATGTTGATACCGATTCTAATTTCCTTGGCTCCCAAAAGCATATTTCTACACTACTAATGTGCCAAAAACAAAATATAGGTGAGTTGGTCAGAATTTCAAAAAAAAATAAAACACAATACTATATACATAAGTGATGTTAATCTCATGTAAGAACTCCCAATACATACATACATACATGCATACATATATATATATATATATATATCAGTTGTGATGTGAGATATATATGAGTGTGTCTCTATATTTGTGATGCAGAAATATAACCTGAAAGGGTATATAGAATTGATCCACAGAACATATTATAATAAAATAAATTTGACAAATCACAATCAATTATGTAATACATATCTAATTCACAGATATGGTTCCCAATGACTCACAAGTGCACATGTAAATCAAATACATGAGTTCTATATAAAAATTAGGAAACTAACCCTGAAGTAGAAAAAAAACTTAGGAATTCCAATTTCAACAAGGCTTTTGAAACATACCAGATATGAACTTACCTTCAATCTGGTTAGCTGGTTACATGAATACTATATTCATCTTCTGCTTGGTTTTAGGATTTCCTGGCATAGCCACTGCTGCACACCATGGCAATGAGATTGACAGGCTAGCATTGCTCGCATTCATGTCCAATATAACCCACGATCCTTTGGGGATGTTGAGCTCTTGGAATGAATCCATCCACTTTTGCCAGTGGCAAGGTGTGACATGTGGCAGTCGCCACCAAAGGGTCATCGTGTTGGACCTAGCACATCAAAATCTAGCAGGGTCCATATCTCCACATATTGGGAATTTGAGCTTTCTAAGAAGATTAAATCTACGAAGAAACAGCTTCAGCCATGTAATCCCTCGTGAACTTGGCCATCTGCAAAGGCTACAATATTTATGGATGTCCAATAATTCAATTAGCAGCGAAATTCTGTAACAATCCCGACCTATGATTAGCCGATAAATCATGATTAATTATGCCTAATGGGTAATTATGATGAAATTTTGAATTAATTACATGTGTGTTATATTATTTGTATTTCTATCTGTTTATCGTAGAAATATCTGTTTGAGATTTTATTATATTTTGCGAATTGAAGATCTTATCGGCATCCGATCATGAAATTGACTTGGTATATGTGTTCTGTGGAATTTTTAGAATTTTATGGTAGGTTTAATTAAAATTCGATTCGAAACGATTAAATTAGAATAAATAATGTCCATTTGATTAGCTTAAGCCAAGTTTAATTAAACTAAACTAAACTAAGTAGGCCTATTTTGGCCTATATAAGGCCAAAATAGCATGTAGAAGCCACTGCTTTTGATCATCTTTGTACTCACCAAATGTGGAAGAGAGAGAGACCTACGAGAAGTTGAGTTCAAAGCTTGAGTCTTGTAAAGATTTGAAGGATTTGACTTGGAAACTCACACAATTAGCTAACTAGAGTTCATTCAAGCATCTAAGGTGAGCATTCAAGCCTCTAGTCTTGTAATTTAATTTGTTAGTGTTTGCATCCAAAGAAATTAGGCCATGAGGTGCATGAATTGAACTAAGGAAGTAGTAAAGAAGAGCATCTCATGCATGCATGTGCATTTCATGGAGTTTTGAGATTGTTTCCAAAGATTTCCTCTCATGCATGTGATAATTCTAGCATGCTTTTAAGAATTCATTACATTTCTTACCTTTGGACCTCATTTGATTATGTTTTGAAAGCTTTGGACCCAAGTCAATACGTGTATGGTTTGTATATGCATAATTCAAGTTAAATTTGAAGAATCCACTTGCTTTTGAGCCTTGATTTTGAGTAATGATTCTTAATGCATGATGTTTTGCAAGTTTACAAGTGATTTCTTAAGTTTTTGGCCCAAACGAACATGTTTTACAGCTTTGAATTCGAGTTTTGAACTTGGGAGTGCAATTTGGAAATTCCACAATTCTGCTCTTTGCTCAAGTGACAAAACTTGCGCTCAAGCGACTGCTCTTTCTTTGACACTTCGGCTCGAACGACGAATAGTTGACTCAAGCATCATACTCCCAGAAGTTTACCATTTTTGCAGACCGCTCGAGTGATAAGAGTTGCGCTTGAGCGAAGACCTCAGTCTCATGCTTAAGTGACCATCGAGCGTACGTTGAATGAAAAAATCAAGCAACCAGTACTTTTGCAAAGTTTACTGACTGCTCGAGCGAAGGAAGTTGCACTCGAGCGACCACTTACATGTTTGGATGTTCGCTTGAGCGAATGAAGTTGCGCTCGAGCGAGACTCTTGTTTCCAGCATATTTGACTAAGTGTTTTTAAGTGCATTTTAGCATTCTCATTGCATTCTAGGCATTCCTAAGCTAAGATTAAGACATAATAATAAGGATAAGACTTAGAAACACACTAAGACCGAAATGTAATGAGTTTTGTATATTCTGAGCGTGTGTTTCAATGTGTATCTGCTACGTGTTTGTGTAGGTCAACCGCCATAGAATATCTGAATCGTCCGCTTTCTCTATTTTGCTATCCGAGCCATCTGTGAGTAATAACTCTGTAAAGTTATGTTGATATGAAATGGTCAGTTTTTTGAAATGCTATGTTTTGTGTGAATGAATGATCGTCTAAATTTTTGAAATATATTCGTGGCATCCTTAGCATTATATGATATGTGTCCATTTATGGGTCATCGGAATGTCTTTATGGCCGTCCCTTTATGGGCCATCGGAAACGTCTCTGTGCACATGAGTCATCATAATGCCTTATGGCTGTCCCTTTATGGGTTATCGGAATGCCTTCACGGCCGTCCTTTCATGGGTCATCGGATTTGTTAACGCTAATGGATGTACCACGTACTATTATGTGAAATGTATGAACTGTGAAGACGAATATTATTATGTATACAAATCTATTTTTGCTTTGACATCTGATTATATACAAGACTCGGTTTCTGTATGGACATCATTCAGTAAAACATTTACTCTGTTATTATTCACTGGGCTTTCGTTTATTATTATATTATGTATGTAGGTGAGCAGGAGCGTAACCAGGCCTAAGCTGCTGCGTAGAGCCTTTGTTTTGTCAGCCAGCTGTTGTGCCTCCTAAGGAGGTTCCCTTTTGTGATCAAGTCAAGTTTATGTGGTACATGTTTGAGACTTTGTTGTCCTTTGAAGCTATGAACAAGTTTCTTTTGACTATTGCATCTGTACTGGGCTAGCCTCCTTTCGACTTTATTTGTGTATATGGGTGAGTCAGGCTACCATATCTATGACGTCATAGGTGCATATATATGAGTTTTATTTTGAAAATTTATGTCCCATAGGTCAACACAACTCTATGGATTATGTTTTATATATTGATTTCGCAGCCCATTATTGTATGTTATTCTATTTGAAGGCCTTAGGTAATCCAAGGATTACTGGCCGGTTATGACGCTAAACCTATAAGGGCGGATTTGGGCCGTGACAAGTTCATTCCAATATTTTTGCTTGCTCTAATCTCATTGACTTCGATGTTTCTTACAATAAGCTGGTAGGAATGATTCCCATAGAGCTTGGCTTTCTGTTCAAAATTCAAGTATTTCAATTAGCTTCAACAATTTAACAGGTATTGTCCCTCATTCATTAGGGAACTTATCATCTCTTGGGAAACTTACAGCCTACATTGATCTCAGAGGCAGTATCCCCACTTTGCTTGGGCAACTGTCCAAACTAGAATACTTTGCAATGGCTGTAAACGTTGTCCGTAGTACCATTCCTCTCACAATCTTCAATCTCTCTTCTATTAAGACTTTTACCATGACGCAAAATCAAATTGGAGGGAGTCGTCCCTTGGACTTGGGCATCACTCTTCCAAATCTTGAATTCTTTGCCATTTCTGGAAACCAATTTACTGGGTCCATTCCTGTTTCAATGTCTAATATGTCAAGTCTGGCATATCTCCAAGCCATGGAAAACAATCTTACAGGAAAGGTTCCAAATTTTGGAAATTTGCACAAGCTTAGTTGGTTAATCATCTCTACCAATCATCTTGGAACTTTAGAAGTTGATGACTTAAGCTTCATCTCATATCTCACAAATGCCACTGATTTAGAAATATTAGTTCTTGACAATAACAATTTTGGAGGGTTGTTGCATGAATCCTTTGTAAACCTTTCGACTAGTCTTGTAGGGTTGTGGCTAGGAAATAATCAAATGCATGGAAACATTTTACAGCCAATTAATAGGAACCATTCTCCTTGATTTTGACATGCTTCAAAATCTGGTAGCTAGGAATGGCAACGGGGCGGGGAGGGGCCGGGGATCACACTCCCCGTCCCCGATCCCCGATGGTGAACATTGCCCCGTCCCCGGTCCCGATCCCCGACGGGGAACCTATTACTCTCTCCATCCCCACCCCCGATCGGGGATCGGGTTTCCCCGACCCCGAAAACTCCCCGGCCTAAATTTGTTTCAACATCATCAATAACAACATTACACATACATTTTCAACAACAAAAACACAGATCTGAGACTAAGACACGCACAAAACCATCAATATCATCAAATAGATCAACAACAACATAGATCATTAACACAGATCTCTACAGATTAACAACAAATCATTAACATTTTCAACATTAACAACAACAAATCATTAACAGATCAACTACAAAAAAAAAAAAAAAAGATAACATAAGACACACAGATCTGAGGGGACGACGGAGGAGGGAGAGAGAGAGAGAGAGAGAGAGAGAGAGAGAGGAACTAGATCTGTAATCGATCGATCATGCAGCAGCGAAGATCTTGAGTAAATCTGCACCATGCTCGATCGATCTGTAATCCCTGGAGTTAATCTGCAGCGGCGAAGATCTAATGAGGGACGAGTTCCACTGGCCAGGGGTAACATGGTGATAGTGGCGTTGAAGGAGGTAGGGGCGTCAGAGGATCGAGTCGACGTCGGACAACGGCGTCGAAAGATAGAGTAGAGGGAAGAGAGAGAAGTGGGTTTGTAAGGGAGAAAAGAGAGAGAGTCATAGGGAGGGGAGAGAGAGAGAAAAAGAGGAAGAGGGGCTTGTATCAGTGAAATGGAGTGAGGGAGCAGGTTATCTTCTGTTTATATATATATATATATATATAGGGGTAAAATGGTAATTTAACATCGGGGATAAACTGGGCCGGGGATCGGGGACGGTGCCGGGCCGAGTACGGGGCTGGGACACTTATCCCCGTCCCCGACCCGAATCTGTTCGGGGATTGATTTTTAAATACCATCCCCGTCTCGTCGGGGGTATTTTTCGGGAAAAACCCGCTCAATTCGGGGTCGGGAAGTCGGGTCTCCATCGGGCCGGTTTCAAATTGCCATCCCTACTGGTAACTTTGCAACTATCCCAGAACAGATTCTCAGGGGTAATTCTTTTCTCTTTAGGAAATTTGAGTCAGTTGAACGAAAACTACCTATCCAACAACAATTTTCAGGGCAATATCTCTTCCAGTTTGGGGGCATGCACAAATTTGCTAGGCTTGGATCTTTCTCAAAACAACTTTAATGGCATAATACCTCCACAAATATTTGGTATCTCAACTTTGTCATATTTATACCTATATCAGAACCAAATAACCAGTTTCCTTCCAATAGAAGTTGGAAATCTCAACAACCTTATAGGGTTGGAAGTTTCTAACAACTTCTTATCTGGTGAAATTCCAAGCACTCTAGGTAGCTGTGTGGCATTGGAAGCCTTCTACATGGATGGAAACTTGTTTCAAGGGACCATTCCTTCATCTTTGAGTACTTTGAGAGGACTTCAAGATTTAGATATTTCTCACAATAATTTGTCGGGCCAAATTCCACAATATTTGGGGGTCCTTGACTTGTAATACTTGAATCTATCTTTTAATAATCTTGAAGGTCCAGTACTAGAAGAAGGCATCTTTAATAATGCAAGTGAATTTTCAGTAGATGGAAACCCTAAGCCCTGTGGGGGTTCACCTAAATTGCGGCTTCCTACATGCAACTTTAATCATTCTAGTAATTCTACTAAGAAGATGGGCTTACATTTTAAGTTCAAACTGACAATCTCTATAGTTTCTGGCCTTTTGGGACTAAGTTTGGTGGTTGGGTTTCTATTGTTCCGTTGGTTTAAAAGGACCAAGCAAGAGCTAACTACAGATTCAGTGGGAAACTCACTCTTAAAAGTGTCTTATCAAAGTCTCCTCCGAGCTACGAATGGTTTCTCTTCATCTAATTTGATTGGTGCTGGTAGTTATGGATCTGTATATAAAGGAATTTTGGATCCTGATGGCATAGTTGTTGCCGTGAAAGTACTTAACCTTTTGCACCATGGAGCTTCTTTAATTTCTTTTTATCTCCACCTCATTACTATTTTAGTCATCTCTTTTGTTTTTAAATTTTTGGGTAAATTACACTGACACCCCTGAGGTTTATGTTTATTACAGTTCTTTCCCTTACCTTTTGAAAATTACATTTCTCTCCCTGAGGTTTAAAGTTTCATTACAGATTCCCCCCTCAGCAATTTAATTTTTTTAAAAACTAATTTTGCCCTTACTGGGTAAATTACATTGACACCCCTCACATTTTAGAAATTGCAATCCTCTCCCTAAGATTTAAAGTAGCATTACCAATTGCCCCATCGGTTAGTATTAGTTGGAAAAAAAAATTTAATTGAAAAAAATTTTTGTTAGTAAAATTTTTAAATTTCTGTTTAAAAACCAACGTAAACTCATTTTTTAAATTTACGTTTTTTCTCCAAATTTACAAACTGAGACAACCATTTATAAACCAAAAAAATTTATCAAATAAGTTTTTATGACAGTTTTTAAATTTTTTGTAAATATAAATTGAAAACTGAAAACGAAATGGTTACCAAACAAGCGTCAGATGGTAAAAATGTCGTAAAATTAACAAATAATTAAATAAGTTACCAACGTAAGAAATGACTTATCAAAAGATTCTTAGGCTATGTATGGTTTGATTTTTAGAATTTTTTTTTTAAAAATTAAAATTAATTTGGTTAAGAAATAAAAAATAAAAAATAAATTATTATTTTTATATAATTTTTATCTTTCGAGTGGCTACAAATAATTTTTTTACAAATTAAATTGAAACAGTCATACATATGTATATAACCTGCTCAAAAGTTAAAATGATAATTATTTTTTACCCTTAAATAATAATTATTTCTTATTTCTTAACCAAATTAATTTTTAATTTTTTAAAAAAATTTCTAAAAATCAAACCACACATAACTTAAGAATCTTTTGATAAGTCATTTCTTACGTTGGTAACTTATTTAATTATTTATTAATTTTACTTTTTTTTTGTTTATTTTTTTTTTTAATTTTTCCTTTCCCTCCAAGTTTCCTTCACTATAAATTGAGCAGAGTGTGTAACATCCTAACTTTCGGGCCATTAATAAATTAAATAAATCTCAATTTTACAATTTCAGATAATTAATAATCTCAAATATATAAATCGTCTCCGAAATAATTTATACAAATGTCTCCAAAATATAATTTATACAATTGTCTCCAAAAATAATATATAGTGGTGGACCCCAAAATATCTGACTCAGATAATCCCTTTAGTACTTCAAATCCGGTTGCCACTAAATTGTTTTGCTTTTGAAAAATAAATTAACTTGGAAAGTATACAATACAATATAAATAATAAGGCTCGGATATAGAATAAATAAAAATGATCTAATAATTTACGACATTGCACACACAATTCGATTCGATGTTACAAGCAATTTATCAAATTGTACTAACAAATTAACTTAACATATGATAACTTGCCTAGTACCAAATACCCAGTCCTACTTAGTACCTAACCAGTAACCGGTCTCGCCCACCTAACCTAAGCACAATCGCTTATAAGAGCCTATTGGTGCAACTATTGGCAAGGTCCACTCGATCAATGTATGGAGCATTTTCACATCATTTAGTCAAACAAATTAATATTGCCAATGTCACGATCCAAACCCGCCTCTATAGGTTCAATGTCGTAATCGGCCAGTAATCTAGGGATTACCAAAGGCCTTTGACCACAATATCATATAATAAGGAGCTGCAGAAGCAAATATAGAAATATACATTGTCCATTGAGCTGTGTTGACGTATATGAGATAGAAATCTTCAAACAAACTTATATATCCATGTGACGTCATAAATACACTAGTCTTGCGTCACTTATTTACACTGATAAAGTCAAAAAGAGACTTAGCTCAATGTACAGATACGCAAAACAAAACAAAAACATATGTAGCAAAGTTACAAAACTTGATATCTCAAAAGGAAATCTCTCCAAGAGGCACGGTGGCTGGCTGACTCTAACCTCTCTAGGCAACAGCTTAGGCCTGGTCACGCGCTTACTCACCTACATACATAATATAAATAGTGAGTAAAAGGCCAATGAATAATAACAGAGTAAAGGGGTTTAAATGAATGATATCCCCCATCAAATTCGGAAAATAGATTCGTACTTATATTCTTGTTCAAAGTATAACAAAAATCAGATCAAATACAGATTAACATTCACATTCTTCAAGATGCTTGAGTAAACTTGATACATTCAATAGTGCTAACCGATCATATATAAAGCATTATAGATCATACTTGCAGTTCCATAAAGGAACCTCTGGTATTGGGAACGGATAACTTATCAATTCCATGAAGGAACCTCCAGTACTGGGAACGGATAACTTGTCAGTTTCATGAATGAACCTCTAGTACCGGGAATATATAACATACTTGAATCACAGAATTGTTGCCACGGGTACTTGTCAGAAACTAGACAATCATTCATTGTGCAAAACATAGCATTTCATAAAACAGGTCTTATTCCATAGACAAAAAATAAATAAGTTGAACATATCTTTACTACGTTATTACTCACAGATTATTGTACAAATAACTTTGATAGCAACCAATGGATCAACAATTCACAGCGTATGACCTACACAAACATTGAACGGATACGTATTGAATTAAACACGCGGAATCATTAACTTAATCCTTTCTTATCTTGGTGTGTTTCTACCTTTTATCCTCATTATTATGTCTTAATCTTGGCTTGGGAATGCCTAGGATGCAATGAGGATGCTAAAATATACTTGGAAACACTTAACAAAAATTGATGAAAATAAGGGTTCCGCTCGAGCGCAACTTCTTTCGCTCGAGCAAGCATGCAAAATATGAGTGGTCGCTCAAGCGCAACTTCTGCCGCTCAAGCGGTCTGTAAACTT